AAACCTTTATACCATTTTGTTCTGACCCAGCACATTAATGCACAATCATATTGGTAACAATTGCATCAAGAGGGCCAGCTGGTGGCATGGTGGTTAAGGTATTGAATCCCACATGGCTGACTTGTGGTTCAAGTCCTGGGTCTGGCTGCTTGAAAAGTCATGCTGGGCATGTGTGCATGCATGTCAAAAATCCTGGGAGGACAATAAAAGAGAAAGGATTATGGCATGGCCATTCCTCCTGGGGGGTGATTTCTCCCTTTCTCTCTCTTTGTCATTCTCTGTCTCCAACAGGCACACGTGCCCTACAGCAAAAACCTAAAAATCTATATTATAAAAAATACAATTCCAGGGCCAGCCAGTGGCATTGTAGTTAAGGCTGTTGGATCTCACAAGACCAACTACGTGGTTTGGGTTCCAGACATAGTGACATGCCAGGTGTGCGTGTATGTGTCCAAAATCCTGAGAATAGAGAAGGGATTACGGCGTGGCTATCCCCACCACCACCCACCCCTCGAGCAGTGCTTTCTCACTTTCTCTCTCTCTTTCTCTGTCTCTCTGGTGAGCTCACAAGCTCTTTAGTGCAATATATATATCCAAATAATTCTGTATATATGCTTTTGAGTCAGACTGGACTGATTTTTGGCTTTTTGTAGGCAAGGAGATCCTAGGAATGGTTGCTCCTTGACCATCCTACTACTTACTGGCCTCTTCCCCAGGTGAGTTGTTAAATGGAGTCTGTGTGGGCTCTCATCCCGACGGCTGGCAGATGGGTGTTACAAAGTTGACTGAAAGAGTAGGAAAGTGAACACACTTATGAGGATGGGCATTCTCTGTCTTCCTAGGTAGGTTTCAAGTGATTTCCTTGAGTCTCATCACTGACTGCCTAGGGTTCCTGAAAACATTGTCCTCACCGACAGCTTCAGGGTTAGAGAACAGGATAGCCTACACAGGTGTGGAGAGAGGTGCCACCTTGGGCTGTGTGAGCTGAGTCATGGGAGTTTCCATTGACCCTAACCAAGCATCTTCTTTCTACCGCTACTTACTAATCCAGACCCCAAATTCCCTGGCTTCCCTCTTTGGCAGGTGTTCAGCTGATGATGGCTTAAGGTGACACTTCCCAGGGACTCTGCATCCTCAGATGAACTTCTGGGAGAAGGAAAGGCATCAGAGCAGGGATGAGGGATGGGAGCGATTTCACTGGATCCCTCCAAAGCCTTTTCTGAAAGACACTTTAATGACTTGGTGCAGCACTTCTGAAAATGCCCTGCATAATGGTGAGATCTCCATCACAGCAGGTATTCACGAAGAAGTAGGATGACCCATCAAGAACAGGCGTGGAGATTTTCTATGCGGGATGATTCCTTGAATATGTGACCTCTACAACTCCCTAACTCTTGGAGTACATCACAAGTATATGTCTGTACATGAATACGAGAGCCAGAAAAACAGGTAGATAGAGATTGAGTCAATACCTAAAGCCCTCTGGACATTTGATGGCTATTATTTAACAATCAACATTTGAACTTATCCATTTCTAGTCTGTCAGGATTCCTGGCTACTAGTCTCGATTCAAGCTCTAATCATCCATGTAACCTTAACCTCCCTGACCCTTGGCTTTATCATCTTTTAAATGGAGACTACAGTGATACCTGTAGTGTTTGCTAGGATGCTGTGTTCATGGTCTTCTTGAGGTTAGGGACAAAGAACACTTGTTTCTCCAGTTCTCTGGAGTCCAGTGTAGGAAAAGGAACCATGTAGATTCTTGATAGTGAGCTGAAGTATTGTTATAAAAGGGAGTGTGCTGAAAGAGGGAGATTATAAGAAAAGTTTCTATTGGGTCATCGGGAAAGTTATGATGCATTTTAGTACAGAAAAACAGAAAAAAAATACATCATAACTTTTCTGATGACCTAATATGTGAAGGTGCACAAATTGTAAGGTTCTTTCTGGATGTGAAGGTCTACGGTGCTGTGAGTAAAAGGCAGCATAGGGCTGTTGCAAACTCCTGGGCTTACCCACCTTATCATTGCCTTCATTACTGAATACCCTTTATTGAATCACTGTGCTTCTTAGAACAAGATTATGTGCCCTGCCTATCTCAGAATGAATTCAAGAATCAAATTGAATTGGGTATTTGAAAGAGCTTGGATAAGTACACATTTTTCAAAATGAAAACATTAATATGTGATTAATAGTCTGGGTTTAATTGTTGGAATAGGTTTTTGGTTGATGTTAAAAGGTTTTCCAGCCTTCGAAACTATTTTTTCTCAGCTACCTTTTGTATTCTTTTTTTTTTTTTTTTTTTGAGAGGTTTTTGCTATAGGGCGCGTGCGCTTGCCAGACAGACAGAGAGAGACAGAGAGATAGAAAATGAGAAATCACCCCCCAGGGGGATGGTCATGCCGCAATCCCTTCTCCATTCTCCTCTAGGGATCTTGGGCATGCACGCACAAGTGCCTGGCGTGAGTTTAAGCCACCGGGTCCGGGACTTGAACCGCGGTCGACTATGTGGGAGTCCAGAGACATAGCCATTACGCTAACTGCTGGTCCCAACTACCTTTTGTATTCTTAGCAAGGTACACACTTTGTATTAGCTAAACCAGTGGTTCTCAAACTTGAATTGGGCATTGCAAACTGGAGAGCTTGTTAAAACAAAGTGGTGGTCCCTGTTCTCAGAGTCTCTGACTTAGGAGGTCTAGGGTGGGTCTCCAGAATTTGTATTTCTGAGTTTCTTGACAACGCTGCTGGTCCCAGGACTATACTTGGATAACTACTGGTCTAATATTTTAAAGCACTTAATATTTACGTAGGCTTTTCATGGCTTGAATTCTTCCAAGATATCTCATAGTATCTCTGTGAAATGGTCATAAGCTCCAGCAGTATTAGGGGTATTTCACAGACACATAGACTATGGTCCAGAAAGTAGGAGTGATGATGTACTGAGAATAACACAGTGTCTTGGTGGTCAAGTGGAAACAGGATGTTCAGGATTTTTCTGGACTTCATTTCGGCATCCTTCCCATTGGGCTGGACTGCCCCCTACTGGCCCATCAGTCATGACTCCTAGCCCCTGGAGCTCTGCTGGTGAAAAGCTGCAAGGCTGTCCTCATGGTTTCTTGTGGGCGTCTTCTGGCAGCTGGTGCTTGCGAGGCATCTGTTGAAGGTGAGTAGTCTGGTATGGGTTCCTGCTGCCACACATTCTGGAGTGGAAACTGTCCTGTCTTTCCACTGTCACTAAACACTGTGGAAGGCACTTTGAGGTGCAGGCACTTGGTAGGGAAGACAGTCCTCACTCACGTGGCTTTCCTGGACCAAACTTTAGTCAGGTTTCTTCGAACCCTTTTCTCCAGTAGTTGGCCAATTTTAGTGAAGAATCCTGCTTAAGCCAGTTTATGGACAATCCTCCCACCCTTAATATTCCATCAAGTTCGTTTTCCTCCATCCTCCATAGCCATCCATGACACCTAACCAAACCCTCTTAGTAATTTCTAATCCCCTCCTCACTCTGTCCCTCTCAGCCTCCTGGCTACAAGTCTCCATTGGTCTCTGTTGTACGTGGAGTTGAGTTCAGTCTCTCCCTGTTGCAATAGTCTTGAATAAATGTGTATTGCTTTTTTTTTTTTCCATAGGGAGCATGTGCTCACCAGAAAGGGAAAGTGAGAAATCACCACCCAGGGGGCGGCCACACCACAATCCCTTCTCCTCTGTTCTCATCTTGGGATTTTGGTAACACGCACGCATACACACATCCGGTATGATTTTCAAGCCACAGGATCCAGGACTTGAATTGTGGTTGGCCATGTGGGAGTCCAGTGCCTTAACCACTACACCACCTGCTGTTCCCTGTATTGCTATTTTTAACAAGAATCCAGTGAATTATTTCTCTTTAATACTAGAAATCTTAATGTTCCTTCCTCTGTTCCCAATTTGGGCACCAAGGATTAGTATATTGGTATCCTCAAACTTATGGAATGACTTACGCACCCCCTCTGAGCCCTTGGGGTGATAGGAAATTTATCCACACCTTTCTAAAACTGCCTTTTGCCAATACCCACATCTGGAGGTCCATTAGCCCAGCACTGCTTTGAACTCCAGCCCATTTATCCCCTTCCCACACTCTATGGAGCCCCCACTGCTTCCCACCTACTGAGGAAAAGGGTCTCATGGATCTGGGTGAGGCCCGATCTGGTATCAGAGAGAGGCTGGCATTGCTGCCAGCCTAGAAGAGGAGAGCTGGAGTGGGGAATGGTGTTGAGCCTTTCTAAGCTGCTCAGCCAAGGAAGGTGCAAGATGCCAGGCACGAAAACCAATGCGCAGGCTAGGAAAACCACCTCCAGCGCTTTGTCCTGCGCAGCCACAGAGAAAGGCTCAGTGCGTAGGTTGTATTTTTCTCTTCTTCCCTTCTCCCTTTCCCGATCACAGGAGCCTTCGGTGGCCTGAGCAGGTTTGTCAGCTGTTGTTATTATAGCTGTTGCTCTTGGCTGCCTCTGTGTGTGTGTGTGTGTGTGTGTGCGTGTGCGTGCGTGTGTGTATGAGAGCGTGTGTGCGTGTTTTCTCCAGAGTGACTGGTTTGTGCTGTCATCAGCCGTTGTTTTGGTAAATGGCGAGTTAAACAGATATATCCAAGCGTAAAATCTAAAAAATGTTCCCTCTGGGCGCCCGGGGGGTGTTGTTTGAAATCAACTACATATCAATTGAGCAGCGGCGAGCGGATCCGATGATAAATTCCAGTCCACAGACGCCTTATAAATTACATTTTTTTGTTCGCGATCTTGCCTCATCTCGGCTCCCCAGAGGCCCTTAGACTGAGAACTATGATTGTGTTGGAGAAAACAAAATAAAATATGTGCCTGGTAATTTTTCTGTTCATTATCTCATTGTTTTCTGTAAGTACAAGGTTAGATTGAATTACTGCGGGCTCCGCCGTCTATTTGTAATTCTCCTTCCATGCCGAGCTGCTAATGAATGGGCAATTTAGTCAATTCTTTGTAACGGCTTCTTCTGTGCGTCAGCCACTTAATTACTCTGAGCCTTTCTCACTGCTGCTTTATTGCATGGAAAGTCGGGGCTGCTTCGAGGGCTTGGCGCGGGGATCTCCAGCTTCCAAAAGAAAAAAAAAAGGAAAAAATTCAGAGGCAATTGGAATTCTGCCTCCATGAGGCTTTCTGTGGTGGCCGGAGTCACATTCTGCGGCCTCGGCCCACAGGGTCCTCATCCCCACTCTACACCGGGCTTGCAGTTCCTGCTTTGCTGACGGGTCACCATCATACTGGGTGTGGCGGTCACTCACTGTCCAGGTAGTAGGAAGATGCCAGCTCCTGCTCAGAGAACAGCCTCCTAGGGGGCGGTCCTGGTGTTTTAAAACGTTATAATTAACCTGACCAGTGTGTGACCCATCCGTCATCAGGATCTCGCCATCCCAGCCAGGGCTCTCATTCTGGGATGCCCAGGGTCTCCTCTTTGCCTTTGTCCAGAGCATGTCACTCTCCTAACAGACGGGAACCAGGCGGGGTGCATGCTATACCCATTCAACAAAGGGAAACACCAAGTCTGGCATGTGAAGGGACTTCACCCAGGGCCAGTGAACCAGGTATGGCCGAACCAGAGCTTGTACCTACGCCCCCCCAAGCTTCTGTCCTTTTCCCAGTCCACCCTGCTGCCCAAGGGGCACTGACGGCTGTAGCCTGTAGCTGGGCTGAAGTGTCCCATGCTGGAAATAACAGGAGGTAGCCCTTAAAGTGGCCAGAATAGCTGGAAAGGGAAAGGACTTTCTGGCAACAACTCAGAAACGGAAAACCCCCGGGGAACTGGGAACTCATTAATAGAACATCAGCTTACCAACTGGCACCTTCAGCAACACCCGTCATGTTGCCAGGGTTATTCCTATGTGCCCCAGAGTTCAGATGTGTACGTAACTTATCTTTCAAACTGGAACATATTTGAAAATGAAAGAAACACCATGTTAATAATGCTGGGGCCAAGGAAGTAAACTAGGATTGCCTGGCGCAAACCAGGTGGTATGGGCACCTGCCCAGGTAAGCAGGTGAGTGTGAATGTTACACTCACATCAGACTTGACGACCCCGATGGCAATGCCGAGAGGGAGTCTCGCTTGCTGGACTGACCCTGCGTGTCAGCACATGCCCCTGTTGCCTTTTATTGAGGTAATGCACGTGAGCTATGGGAAGTCTCCATCCAGGTCTTAAAAGTGATGGATTCGCCAAACCCCATGTGAGCACCTGGCTAGTTACTAGAGACACAGGGAGAGGCAGGCAAGATTTCCTGGGATTTTGACTTGACTGCTCTAGCAGAAAGTAGGGAAACCAGTACCCGAATGCTACTAAGCTCCTGAAACAGGGTTCTGAACGTGTCAGGCCCCTGCCTAGAAAGCTCTTGCTCTCCTCTGGTCTGACTCACTCGTGTGAGTAAAAGCAAGTTAAACGTCACTTCCTCCAGGGAGTCTTTCCTGATCTCTGAGATTACACTTGGTTTTAAATTTCTTTTAAAGTATATTTGTTCCATGAATGAGAGAGAGAGAGAGAGAGAAAGAAAGAGAGAGAGAGAACCCCTAATGGGGCCTTGACACTGTGTTCCACCCCTAACTCTCAGTCAGTCCCAGATCCTGGGCACACAGAAACCTGGCATACTGGGGAACGGGGTCCCCAGATCTGAACTGCTGCGACTTATCATTCAATTTTGTGATTTCCTGTAGTTTTCATCTTCATTACTCCACACAACTGTAATTAAATTATTTGTGTAATTATGTGTTCAACGTCTCTTTGTCCTTTCCCCAGCCAACCATGACCTGTCTGTTTGTGGCCTTTAACAAATTATTATTCAATATTTCTCGCATTGGAATGGCACCATGTACATGCCAGGCACTTCTTAAAGTGGCTTACAAATCTCATGAAATCTAATGTTTTTTGAGAGAGATTTTTCTAGAGGGTGTATGTGCTCGCTGGAGAGACAGAGAGAGAGAAAGCAAGAAATCATCCTGTGGAGTGGGGTGGCCACAGTGTAATCCCTTCTCCATTCTCCTCTTGGGACTTTGGGCACACATGCACATGGCCCAGTGTGAGTTTCAAGCCACCAGGCAGGTCTGGGACTCAAACCACGATTGACCATGGGGGAGTCCAGATCCTTAACTACGACACCACCTGTTGGTCTCTTCATAAAATCTTACAACTGTCTTTTACAAGTGAGGAAACTGAGGCCCAGGGAATTTAAATAACATCATGGGGAAGACAGGATTTAAATCCAGGCAGTCTGGAGCTCAAGTCTGGAAACTGTAGAGCTTCAAGCTAGAAGATACTGACCTCCAGGCCCAGCTCCATGCCCTATCAGCAGTACATCTTTGGTCAAGCTGTTGAGTCCCTTTGCCACATGTCACCTACCTACGCAGCAGAGATTAACAGCAAAACTTCACGATCCCACCATTTTGCCACAGTGGCAGAGGAAACCGTGTCACGTACAACTGTTTAAAATGCCATGGCAGGAGAAGAGTAGAGCAGAAGGGATTGCGACGTGGCCCTCCTCCCGGAGGTGATTTCTCACTTTCTGTCTCTGTTTCTCCAGCGAGTGCATGTATACTATAGCAAAAATCTCTATAAAACAAATAAACAAACAAACTATGGATCTCTACAAATGGCAGGTGGTAGGTGATGGCTAGTTGAAAGTGGCCTAACCACCCTCCTATCACTCGCCAGGCTGGTGCCCCCAGAGACTCCATAGACACCTCACTTCCAGCTCCACACCTTCTATCTAAGCCCCAAGTTTGGATACCTGCTCCCTTACCCCTCCTGTTGGTACCCCAGGGCCGAGTGCAGAGCCTGGCATCCAGTAGACTGGAACAATTTGCTAACCTGAGCAAAGACGGCCCTGTCTGGGTCCAGCTCCAGGGCTTCCTCTCTCGCAATCTTCCTGGGTTGCCCAGCCCTTTCTGGTCTCTCTCTGAGCTCTGTGCCTCAGACAATCCGCAACGCGTCACAGAGCACTTGATTCTCTCCCGCTGCACCTGTTTTCTCTGTCGAACCTACAGGGTTGTGAAATCAATTTAGTGGGCTGTGGTCAGGAGGAGGAGCCGACAGAGGAGCAAACGGAGGAGAAAACGCTGGGATGCCTCACGCTCGGGAAGGTGAAGGATTGCATGAGGACACTTTGTTTCGGTGATGTCTGTGTATACACACGCGCACACATATACACGCGCGTGCGTCAGGTCACAGTGTGAATGTGCATCTTCATCTGCTTTGAGTGCTAAGGCTTCCCGGGGGAGCCTCTTGCTACCCATGTTGCAGGGGTGGGTGGTGGTGGTGAGTGGCCAGGATCTCTGCGATGCCTCTAGGGCAGTTCTCCTCCAGTGGTGCCCTCACCTCTCCCTTGGGTCCCTGGGTGTCCTGCAGTTTCCCACGGGGCAGGGCAAGCCATTTGCTTCTCTCTCCTCTTCTGCCCTGTCTGTCAATGGATAGTACTTCCTGAGTCTTAAAGCTTGCTGATTCTGGCTTATTACCTGTTGATGATGGCATGTATAGTATTCTCAACTGGATTGGCCTGAGAAATATTTCATGACGGGTAAAGTCTTTTTATAAGCAAAATGAGAAATAGTGATTGACTGTTTAAAAAATAATTAGAATAATAATAATGATTGGGAAAAACATTGAAAAGATATTGAATGATGAAGTGGGGAGTTAAGTTATATGTAATCCAATGTAATATAAAGAAGATTATGATGATAATAAAAAAATAAATTTAAAATAAAAAGCTTGCTGATTCTGCTGCCCTGGGCCTCAGTTTCCTCATCTGTTACTATATCCTCATAGGATCTCGGAAATAATTCAGTAATAGAAAGCATCCAGGGTGGCGGGGGAAAGGGGTTGTCTCATCAAAAAATTCATGGAGAATGCATGTTACATTAAAACTATGGACGGGTTTCGGGAACCAGCAGTTAGCATAATGGCTATGTCGCTGGACTCCCACATAGTCGACCACGGTTCATATCCCGGAACTGGTGGCTTAAAACTCACGCCGGGCACGTGTGCGTGCGTGCCCAAGATCCCAAGAGGAGAATGGAGGAGAAGGGATTGTGGCGTGACCATCCCCCCTGGGGGGGTGATTTCTCACTTTCTGTCTCTATGTCTCTCTCTCTCTGTCTGGCGAGTGCACGTGCCCTATAGCAAAAACCTCTCAAAAAAAAAAAAAAACTGGAAGGATTTCAAAAAATTTTTGGAACAAAATAAACTCATACTTTAACTCCATTTTCCCATAAACTTTTTTCTTTTTTTGAAGAGGTTTTTGCTATAGAGCATGTGCGCTCACCAGAGAGACAGAGACAAAAAGTGCCAGGGGCGATGGCCATGCTGCAATCCCTTCTCCTCTTGGGATCTTGGGCACATACGCACACGCGCCTGGCGTGAGTTTTAAGCCACTGGGTCTGGGTTTCGTACTGCAGAATCCAGCAACATAGTCATTACACCATCTGCTGGTCCCTTCCATAAACTCTTTTGAAGTCCTCTCAAATGTGAAGGGCCTGGCACAGAGGAGACACCCCGTGAGTCCTCCCTGCCTCCCTCTTGTTCCCACTTCCAGCCATTGCTGGGATGGGGGCAGCACATGGACTGGAGGATGAAGGGGAAGGCAGGGCTCAGTGGCTGCTGCTGCTGCCTTCTCCCATCTCTGTCCAAGTCTAGGTGTGTCCTCCTAGACGTGGGGCTATGGGCTCTGTACGGGGGTGGTGGGGTGTCCACACTGCTGGGGGACACAGCACGGGAGCTTCACTTTTAGCACAAATGGATTGCATTTCTGTTTCACAGGCAGGCAAGCTGGGGACCTCCCAAGTCAGGAGACAGCTGTGTCCTGTCCTTGAGGAATTTCTCTCTAATTGAGTCCTATGGCCATGGAAGAAGAGCGAAGAATTTTCCTGCCCTCCTGGAGCTTTCATTCTGCAGGTAACAACAGCCGATTCTAGAACACTCCTGTGTGCCAGACTTTGTTCTAAGCATGCTTGTAAATTAGCTCATGTCACCCTCGTGACAGCTCTGGAGGGTAGGGGCTTTTTAATCCCCACTTTACCAATGAGGAAAGCTCATGACACTCAGAGCTCCTATCACTTCGCCAACGTCACCCAGGTAATATACAGCAGAACTCTGACTCAAACCTGGGGTTTGAGTTCCAGCACAGAGCCCCAAGGGAAGGCTTGGCCTACTTCAATCACCTTTTCAAGCAGAGTGCAACACCTCAGCTCAGTTCTTTAGAAAACACCCTCACAAAAATATGGATCATGCTCTTTAAAAAGTTCATTCCCTTTGACACAATTTTGGGACTCAGTTGTCAAGAAACAAGGCTGCATCAAGACCATTTATTATGAAGACGTCTTCACAGTATCATTTTAAACAGAGGGAAAGA